GATGCCAAGGTCTAAACTTACCGAGGCTGAAAAAGCCAAAGAATGTAGACGGGAATACCTTAAGTGTTACACACAAACGGAAAAACGAAAGGATTCCGTTCGCAAACGCAAGCATGAAGCCCATCCCTAACAAAAGTACCTAAGTGGTTGAGAGAATTGAACCCAACCGAAGAGCGAATAGTGGCTCTCCGAATCCCTTTCGTTCAAATGCGAGAACTGGGTGTTGATCACCAGTTAGGGATAAAAGGATCCATTTTCAACGTACCCAATAACTTGCACAAGACCGTGGACTGTCTTCCACGCAATATAAGTCCCGCAGTGGGCTGATCGGTAAGACACGGTTCCCAGCAGATCACCGAAGTCAAGCATCACTGGCTGCGGTCAGTGTGCGGGTGGGTGACCACTTGGATCAGTCTGCGTAGGGACCGAGGGTGTGCTGTATGGGTCCTCGGTAAACTGTCCTACCGTAAAGTGCTCGACTTCGCGCGCAGGTCGTCGGGCTACAGAAGCGGCGGTGCCATCCCCTCCGCAGAGGATCAAAATCGTGATGGCATGTCTTCGGATCATCCTCCGGGATGTTTCCCAGACCGTCGCCAATAGCCCATTGTGCAGCTCTAGTGCGACGTAAATTAACAACAACAACAACAACATACCGTCGCCAATAGCCCATTGTGCAGCTCTTGTGCGACGTAAATTAACTACTACTACTACTACTCCAAGCAATATAAATGATTCATTCACTGTTCAGGGGCCCCCTTAAAATGGATTGTTTAAAAATAAATTTTAAAAAATTAAGAAAAACAATGATTTTTTAAAAATGTTATGATTATTTTTTGGTCCTAATTTAAAAAAATAAAGTAAAATTTAATTTATTNAAATTTTAAAGAATTAAGATGTTCTCCGTGAAATTAATTTTGATAACATGGTTGAGTTCATTGATCGCAAGAGCAGAAAAAAAGATTTTTGAATACCAATTTTCTGGTAGCGTTGATTTTCCAAAGTGTTAATAAATTTCAAATTTTTTCAAAATGCTATGATTATTTTTTAGTTCTAATTTAACAAAATAAAGTAAAAGTTCATTATTTATTATTTATTTTAATTTTAAATATGCTTTCTTAAATGAAAAGATGTATAAATACTTTTATATTTGAATAAATAAAAAATATACGAAATTTTTTTTTATCTAAGGATCCTAAAAATTTTAATGGCCTAGGGCCCCGCTTACGCTTAATCCGGCCCTGAATGTAGTTATTTGTTATTTTTTTTAAGAAAAAATCTTTTTTTAGGAGGAATTTTGGAGGGAAAAAATACCTGCGATTACACGAAAATTTACGCTCATTTAAAAGGGGGGGGAGGGAATTGAAAATGTGGCATATGGTTAATTGTCCTAAATCTTCAGTTAGTGAATTGAATTATGAACGAATTTAAATATTTATTAATTTTATCGAAAGTTTATAATAATTAAGTTTCAAAATTATAAACAGAAACGTACTATCTTTGAATCCCCCCCCCCCTTTTTCTTTGTTGTTGACGGATTTGAAATCTTGGGTTTTAAAATACTAGAGCAGTCACAGTCCTGCAAAGTTTATTCATTATTAGATTAGTATGGTTACTCTTCACATTTTGAAGGTAAAAAAGTGCGCATTCGTTGCTATGGCAATCTCTGCCGTTTGATAATTCTCTTATAATTCTTTTTTTCACTTTTAATTTTGTTATGCATTAAGTGGGTGGGTTTATTTTTGAGATAGGGGAATATGCTCGAACCAATAAGATTACGTCGTAATACTGAAAATCCAAGCAGTAGAATAAAATTCTTCAACATGATATCATTTATTATTATTTCTTTTTTGCTGCCTGTTTGGCAGGGCGCTGGACTCACGCTCGTGAAAACGGGTGTTCGAATCAAACCGGCTGAAGACTCCTCGTGTAGTAAATGGTGGCAGGTGCACGTTAAATTTGTCGGGTCACAAAGTTGTACATGTTTCCATTACAAATTATACTTCTGGGGATACTGAATTGGAGATGAATCGTTCTCTGGTTCAGGTCAAAATTACGATATGTGGATGAATGTAGGAATGGGTCTGCCCTATAAACGGGTGTGACAGAAGTTGAATTCTTCGCGCCCCAGATAATGGCGCCATAGAAAAACAAGAACATTTCTTTTTTGCTCACTGAACGCTAAAAAGCTATTATTGAATAAAATGAATGTTTAAGTTTTGGGACAGTTTATAAGACAGCTATTTGCTATTTATTTCTCAGTCATACCGAGAAAAAAAAACAGTTGGCGAATTTAGTGTGATATAATGATAATTTAATTCAATTTAGCCGTAGATGAACAGCCGACCCATTTTTGGATTTACGACTATTAATGTTCAAATCCGTAGCCTTGTAATTTTGAACTCAATCTAGAAGACAAGGGAACTCCTGGATCAAGTATTGGGAGGAATTAGTCTTCGTGGAGGATTTTTGCATTTGCGTTACTTCGAGAGGAAAACCTCGAGAACCTCCCACGGTTAGCCTGACCGGAAGAGGAATCTAACCCATGATCCGTCTACCACTGAGTATATTTTAAGTCTGCACTGTGGTCGGTGGAAGTCGGATGCGGAATTTGTATCGACCAGTCATCGCTGCTATTGGAACCGGGTTCACCTCCTTGGAAGGCGAACGGTTTATCCTATGAGCCATTATAGCTCTCAGAGAGAGAGAGATTTCTAATTATTGAGGCGGATCATATATACCCTCCAACCATGTTTCTGAATACTCTAAAATTATGAAAATAATCAACTGTAATAAACATTTCCCGCTATGGAGCAAAGATTCAAAATGCAGGGGGGTCGAAGCCTAAAATTCAAGAAAAATGCACCAGTTACTGCAATATAAATATGCGAAATAAATAAATAATATAAAAGAAATAAAGAAATACCGATCAGTTAGCGGCGCTGCCTCTCACACTAAAGTTCGTAAAATAAGATGTGGAAAACTTTTGATTGAATTCTCGGATTTTTGCGTACTGAGACTTATACTGAACTGCTTGAGGGCCTGAATTTATATATGTTAATTAATTAGCGTAGACGATATTTTAAATTACGGCGTTTAGAGTAGACGATATCAAATTCATATACTTTCTCTGAAAAAGCGTTTGTTTTCTCTATAGATTCTTTACCCTTATAATATGGAGGGTAGCCGCAATCTGGAAAGTATGGTCCTAATAAGTCAGGAGAGCGGTCCAAAGTTCGAACCCTTAATTGTTAATTTCACTCTTTGCGTATTTTTTGATATCTCTGATGAATTATTTGAGTGAGTAAAAAAAAATTTGTACTGAATTATAAAACTTATTTACCGATGAATATATAATTGTAAATAAAAAATAATTTTTATTTGAATTTCATATTTTTTGGTCGAAAAAATTACATATCCATATTTGCAGGACCGGATTAAGCGTAAGCGGGGCCCTAGGCCATTCGAATTTTTGCGGCCCTTCGATTAAGTTGTTTTTATCGTACATTTTTTATTTATTCATATATAAAAGTATTTATATATCTTATCATTTAAGAAAGCATATTAAACATTGAAATAAATAGTAATAAATTAAATTTTACTTTATTTTGTTAAATAAGAACTAAAAAATAATCATAACATTTTGAAAAAATTTTAATATATATTTGAAATTGATTTTTTTTAAAAAATCATTGTTTTTCTTAATTTTTTAAAATTCATTTTCAAAAAATCCATTTTAAGGGGGCCCCTAATCATTGGGGGCCCCAGGTCATGGCCTGGTCTATCCTAATAGGTAATCCGGCACTGTATATTTGTAATCTATTTTTTACGTATTTAAAAACAAGGTAATTACAAAGCTTAGAGTTTGAACAAAATCGGTTAAATGGTATCCGAATTAAAAATCTTTAAGAGTCACGTCTTAAAATTTTTATTTCTAAAGAACTAATCGACTGATTTCGTTGGAATTGTGGATTTTGGCATTTAAAACTATTTAAATAAAAGTGACATAATAATTCAAGAACTTCTTGACTATCAACTAAGTTAAGTAATAAAAATGATTATAAAATTTTTTAAACAGATTTATCTTTCAATAAGTGCAGGCAGGGCCGGGAAAGTCTGGTTGGTAGGTACTTTTATTTACGTTGCACTACAGCCGGTAGAAAGAGTTGAGTATAAGAGGTCGTGGGTTCGATCCTCGCCGGCCGAAGTAAATTGTTCCCCGTATAGTAAATTGTGACTAATGCACATTAAATCTGTCGAATGACAAAGTCCTCATGTTCCCATAGCAAATCATGACCCTGGGGGCATTGATCCAGGAGTGTCCTTGTCTTCTGGATTGGTTCAAAATTACAAGGCTACGGAATTGAACATTAGTTGTCGTTAACCTCAAGTTGGGTCGGCTGTTCAACGACGGTTATAAAATAAAATGAGTGAAGGCAAAATCTTTTTATTAGCTTATATGTTTTGAGAAGTGAGTAAAAAAGTGTAGCGAACAATAAGAGACTCAAAATTGAGCCATCTCTCTCGACTAAACTATTCGGACCATATTTTCCAGCTTGCGGCTATCCCCATAAATTGAAAGTCAAAACTCCTAAGAGGTTAAGGACCAATAAAAAGCATGAGTATTCAAATAATGAACGTTTTTTGTGTTTGATTTCTGTAATTTAAAATATCGTCTGTGCAAATTAATTATTATATTTAAGGTTAGGCTCTCGAACCATTAAGATAATATATTAGTACTTGAAAAAATAATTATTTTCTTCTCCAAAATAATTGGCTGAGTATTACTTCTTACTACATGAATTACTATTTTCCTAGCATAATTATGCTACAAAAATGCTTTAATCTTTGTAAATCTTTTTTAATAGAAAATTCATCTTTCTTGGGCTAAAAAAAAAGAAGAAAAAAAAAACAACTTTTTATTGTTTATTTCGAATACAAAACCGAAACTAAATTTGGCATTTTCATTGGCGACTTTTACCGAATCGGAAACATTAACCCTAGAGCTGACTGGCTCTTTTCCGCCATCTTGTAATTGCCATTAGTTTGATTTCTGCGGAATTCGATGTGTATTGGTGCCGGTTTTGATTGAAGGTTGTTAGTCGTGGGGCGTTTGGTTTATGATTAAGCGGGGTTCAAACACCCCTCAATTGTTCTTCTGTACATAATCACTTTCCCAAAATGTCGGGACAAACTTTAAATGACAGATTAACTGCTGCAAGGCATGCTCTTGCTGGTCAAGGGCTCGCCAGGATAGTCTGTAAGGCTACTACTGAAGAAGTTATAGGACCAAAAAAGAAGCATTTAGACTGTAAGTACTTCGAATTATAGTTAAAATTAAGTGCAACATTATTCTTAATTAAGGTTAATACTAAGTACTTATAAAACTAAGTGACAAAGTGATAGTTCTCTAACACAACAGACATTTTACATGTTAAATAATGTAACTTTGACCTTGTACATTCAACACAAAAATGCATGTTTTTGTTATAGTTGATTATTTATTTTTGACTGCAGTGCATCGGATATTTTATTCCGGAAATAGAGGGAAGTTCCGCTGAAGTAATTCTGCGTAATTTAATGCACCGCCCCCCTTCCAGTCCCTTTATAATACTCATTTTTTTGACCTATTTAATTTCATACTTTTTAAACTTTCATTTAAAATTGCTAAATATGAAATTGAATGTAAGCTAAATTAGTCATAGCGCTCTATCTTTTTATCAATAAATGTGAAAATTGCAATTTTTGTTTACTAACAATTGTGTGTATACAATTGATGACATTTTAGTCATTTGTGTTTATATTATTCTATCGAAATGTCGCGTAGTTTTAGTGAAAAGTAGCCAGCTTATGAAGATGATGTGGGTTTTTATTTTTTCATTGAGTGTTTGGATAAAATTATTATTCACGTGTGTTAAAAAGTAGTGACGTTTCTAGCGTATGAAATATTTTATTTTTTGAGTCTTTTTTAAGAGTTTGCAGAAGTTTTGAAATTGTCTATAAAAACGTAGAAACTAAGTTGTAAGGTTGGATAAATTTCAATTTTACACATGTTTATTTAGAGTTATTTAATAATTTCTACACCAAACTTTGGGTTTCTGACAGTAATTGTCAAAACAAAGAGAGTAATATCAAAATAATTCAAGCAAGAATATAATTGATTTTAAGTTTGTAATAACTATCAAAGGATAAAGCGGTAATTGATTATTATGTCACAAAGATGCTTCATTTTATGTATTTGATAAATTTTAAATCCTGCAAATGAGGAAGATTGAGCTTTATTGATCTAAGACTTATAAAGATTTAGATACTTGATTTGTCTTATAAGAATGAATTTTAAAGTTTTTTTTTGACCAAACTTGAATTCAAAAGGATTTTTTAACAAATGTAAACAGTTATAAGTTACATAAAGAAAAAATTAATAATTATGAATGTGAAGGAAACGTGAGTTGATGAATGTGAAAAAACACCCATAAAATAAATACCAGTTTTTTTTACTCCATTCATAATTTATATTTTAAAAATGTTTCAAAATATTTTATTTTGCATAGATGATTGCTTCGGAAAAAGTCCGGAATTTTCGCTAACCGTGAACTGGAAATCCAAGGTCCAAAAGTTTTAAGAAATCATTGATCACGTTTATGAATAAAAAGTTTTGGATATTTCATTTAAAAGTATTAGAACAAGAATTTATACTTGGAATCCCTTTCATTTGTAAATATTTTTTTTTGTAGAATACTAAATGTGATTAGAGATGAAAGTAAACTTATACGTAATTATTCATTTAAATTTAATTTATTCAGAATTTAATGTTTTGAAAATATTAATGGTTAAAATTTATAAAGACATAATTTTTTTGAAATGCTTCATTAATGATTTTACTCAGGAAGTTTTCATGATTTTCTATTTGGGCTCACAATCACCCCTGATTTTATATAGAATTGTCAAAAAAAAAAATATATATATAATATATAAAACATTTAAAAAATTCATATTTTAGTTATTTAACTTTTAATTGTTTCATATTAGTGTGTGTGTCTGTATACTGGGTAGACTTATAGAATGCAAAATTTAACTTGAAACTGAATGAGTGCAATTGCAAACTTTTTACGAAACTATATTTTTGATCAGATTTTTAAACTCTGAAACATTTCAGAAATGGAATTTTCTCATTGGCTTAGCGGAATATATAGCAGAATATATAAAACATTTAAAAAATTCATATTTTAGTTATTTAACTTTTAATTGTTTCATATTAGTGTGTGTGTCTGTATACTGGGTAGACTTATAGAATGCGAAATTTAACTTGAAACTTAATGAGTGCAATTGCAAACTTTTTACGAAACTATATTTTTGATCAGATTTTGATCAGACTCTGAAACATTTAAGAAATGGAATTTTCTCATTGGCTTAGCGGAAGCCATTGTATCATATTTTTAAGATAACACCAGTGGTGTTTGTTATCTTATAGCTCTGATCAAATAAGTTGTTTATTGTGTGTTCTGCAATACTTATTTTTTATTCGTTATGTCAGGTTATCTGAAAGATCAGCATGATCAGGCTAGCATAAGCAGACTATGTATATTTATTAATATTTTTAAAGTTATCTGAAACCATGTGTTTATTTTATTTATAGCTATGCTTTTAAATCTTGATTTTACAAAACTAAATAATTTTAAATAGTCTGTAATTGAAATAAAATCAAAAGTTTTGTACTAAAAGACAAAATTATTGGGGAAATGGAAATAATTCACTGAAGAATAAGCAAAAGAAAAGAAGAGAAAAATTTTTAAGTCAAGGATAATTACTTCGGCAAATTACTAACTTAAGTACGATAATAAGCCATGTACTAAATGGCCAAATTAATGGAGAAGTGTTACTCAGTTCGTTTAAGAGCTTAAAAAAATCAGCAAACTATTATTGATGTTAATGATGCTTAATTTTGATAATAAATGACATTAAAATATACTCGGAGCTAAAGAGAAATATTTATTTAAAATACAGGATACCGTAATGTAATACCGAATATGAGATTTAGGGGTATAGTAAAAACCTGACTGTACCGTCGACATACTATTATTGACACCAATGATGCTTAATTTTGGTAATGGGCACTATTGGCATTATGATAATAGGTGAAGTTTTTATAGATACCAAATATACTCTTATACTGTTATAATGTATTACAGCTGCAACAAGACTGTGTACTTTTATGATAGATTTCTGAGGTCTGTTCAGATGAAATTTGGGTCCGTTAATGCACCCTTCACAAAATATCTTTTCATAAAAACGGACCCTTCACAAATTTGTTTATCTTCGTTATTGTTATGTTAATCCAATAAACCCTTCCCAGGGCAAAAAAGAAGAAAGATGGATGTAAAGGAATTAAGTTTTGTCTTCGGCAGACGATTCTTCCATTATGCGTCCGAAATGAATATTCTGCGTTCAGCTGTATAGGCTAAATACCAAATATTTGTATTTTGCATCTCTCATTTAGAAGCAGCAATTGCTATTTATTTTTGAAAGCGTAATTTTTTTAAATTATAATTTTACTTTGCTGAGTGTAATCTTGTATCGATTTACAATTTAAAAACTCCCTGAAAGTTTTTTGCTATAACCGGACACAGTTTGCACAAATTCAGAAAAGCAGGATCCTGGTTGAACGAATGTGAGTAATTTTTTCACAATTTCACGAAAACCGGACCTTTCACAAAATGTCTGGACAGACCCCTGGATTTATTATATAGATATGTACAAAAGAGAGTAGCTTGACTGTGGCAAATCTTAAATATCATGAGGGACCTTGGGCAACAGCATTATGCCAGATGGTGCTAAATACAGTTAGCCTTTACTTTGATGGGATGAACTACTAAAAATGCATTTTGGTTAATCTAATAATGTAAAGTACCTGAGAAGGGTGGTAAATAATAATGAATAAATAAAAAAAACATTGACATTATTGTAAGTTAGTTATTTTTGTTAGCATTTCTTTGAAAATTTTGTGCACGATTTGAAAGTGCTGTTCAGAACTGATTAATTGATGTTTTTATTTTCACCTCATACGAAGAACGGGTATTCACCTAGTTTTTTTTTATAAAATGTAATGGTGGGGCATAAATGATTTTTACAATTATAGAGCTTTCAGCTAGGTTGTCAAAAGTCATGTTATTTTGCATTTACCAATAAGATTGTATTAACAGTGCTTCATATTAAAAAACTGTAACATGACCTAAATACTCAGAATATTTGATTAAAATGTTTAAATTCTATGAATTTTTACACACTGATCCCTGAATAAATAAAATCTTAGTCATTTTTGTTCAAACTCAATATCTTCACAAATTTGTCAAGACTGACGTATTAGAGTTCCCTTGCCATCAGGCTAACCATGGGTGGTTTCCTCTCCATGTAAAGCAAGTGCGGGTTCTTCTGGATTGGATTCATAATTACAAGGCAAAATTGGTTCGGCTGTTCAACGATGGTTATAAATAAAGTAAAATAGTGTTTATGATCGCCTTTAACTAATACTACTCTCGCTTTTATATTTTATGCTACTGTGGACCTATCTCTTCTGGCTAGAAGTCTTAAATAACGGTCTTGAGTAGGCGTTGTTTCCCTTTTTTGCTGCCTTGACCTGGTTGGTGAACCCTTGTTCTTCACTCTATGAACTGTTTTCATAGCTCGGCCACCACATTCCTCGATACGACGCGATCCTTATAACAGGTAGTCTGCGATTGTACCTCCTTGAGTCTTCCAAGTGTCAGACATCTTGTGGCATCGTCTAGATGATGACTTCTGGCCACATTAACGATGATAAACAAGACAAAACAAAAAAAGCAACCAAGGATTGGGCTAACCTACAAACTTCGACAAACAAATGAGGTACATCTGCACAAATGCGATCAGAGCACCACTACTTTACGATGTCACTGGCCATTGCGTGGCAGAGATGTCAGCGATCACCTGATACCTTATTTGTCTATATGCGTTGCTCATCTCGTTCTTACAGAGCCGGATTATACCTTTCGTAGGCCCTAGGCATAGCCGTTTTTGGGCCCTCCCCTCCTTCCCCCACTCCTCCCCTCTTTTCAAAATATATGCTAANAAAATTAAGCACTTTTTAAAAACACCCAATGAAAAGAGCACCATTAAGGGCTTTTAAAAAACGAAAATAAACACCTTTAAGCACTTTTTAAAAAACGCTAAGCACTCTGATAGAAAGTTATTAATAAAACACACTAAAAGAGCATATGTGAATGGTATAAGTGGAAGACTAAACTTATTTGAGGTTTTAAACTATTAAAAAAGTTT